ATAAATCATATATTTCTTCTTTTTACATCCTGATTACAAGTTAAAATCATTGTACAATTTCGAATAACAACATATATAATATGCAATGACATTTAATAAATTTGTTCATCACCACAACAAACAATAAAGTAATAAATAATTTTAGTTATACCTGTTGATATCCGAGTTAGCCAAAACGAGATCGGACATAAGTGACTCTCTAGAACCGGGCCAGGAACCCGGTCTGGTATAAAAGTGTCGGGCTAAATTTCAGCGATAAGATGACCACGACCGCCACAGGAATAGCTTATGAGACCGACACCTGATATTGAAGATCCGGGGTACCGGGCTCACAAGATGCCGAACTGAACGAGGAATATTGAGTACTCAGGTAACATATTCAGTAGAAGTGCCGACCTGAGGATCCTAAGCGGTCACCTTGGAGGCAAGTGCGGGGCTCGGTAACATTAAAATATTCCCACTTGGAAGGTCATAATTGGACGATGGGACGGTATGTCATAGTCTACTACCCTACAACAAAGCCTAGACAAAAAGTCTGCCAGCATTAAATGCCCCTCATGCTTGCATTAAATATCTGACAGGCAATGATTGCAAAAACCTCAAATCTCATTAAATAACTGTCAGGGAGGCGCCGAACTACTCTGCAGAACTACTGTGCGACACGACTGGTGAACAACACCCAAACAGTACCTCATTCAAGGATACTATAAATAGCAGCCCACTTCATTTATTTTGGGTTGTTGAATTCTCAACTACTCAGCCTCCTCTCTACTTTCTCTCACTAGAATCTGTAATTAATTCCTGCAATAAATCAAACTTCATCGCAAGTGCCGACCTCTTACGAGAATGCCGACCTCGCAATTTCGTAATAAATCATAATTAACTCGTATTCTCTCTCAATTTCCAGTCCAATACTTCTATTAAACTTTACTTTAACCGCTGATCGGATCCGTCCATTAACAATATCGAATCACTATAAAGATGTGACTTAAAATATATTGAATAATAATTTTTACAAATTAAGAGATCGTGATTGTTAATCGAAAAAATGTTAAATAACTATTATTATAGCAACTGTTTATGCAATTTTAAGAGTGCGCTATATCATTATAACCAATTAGCTATAAAAAAATGTTCAATGAGAATAAAAAATGGTAATATTAATTTATAATAAATATTTTTTTGTGTATATTAGTGTATTATTAGCTGATGCCTTTAATAAAATATTTAATAAAATCTATTTTCATTTTCTTCTAAAAGGAGTTACATTTTTTTAATTAATTACTCATTAATCTGCTAAAACTATTATACCTTAATGTATATATTTTTATTACTTATTTCTTATATCAGTTACTAAATTAATCTTAAATTTGGTAGCAAAATATTCAAATGTGTAACGACTAATGTTAGAACTTAAAGTTGATTGACACATTCAGAGCTGTAACCGCTATATTTGGTACATTGTTGGAAGAAAAAAATATGATTGACACATATTTTTTTTCCTAAAAATCAGAAACATCAATAATTTTTTTTATTTATGTTAATTTTCTTAATATATGCCACAAATATATAAATTATTTTATTCATGTTACTAATGTAAACATTGCATGGTTAAAGTAAAATTTACATCTCAATTAATTTTGAATGATAAAAATAACTTAAGAAAAAATAATAATTTTTATATGATAGAAGTACATGTTTAATTAATAAATACAAACAAAAACGTATTTTATATTTGTGCAAATGCACAGGATCAAATACTAGTTGATAATTAAAAATATGTAAGTACGAATTTAATTTGATAGTGCATAGAAATAATTGTTTATATTCTTAATTAGATAATATAAAATAAAAATATAAAAATAATAATTATTTCCATTTTTTTTAAGACATGAAAAAAAAAAGGAAAAAGATGGAATCTAAGCCGGAAGCATTATAATTTATAATCAAATTCCTTCCGTTTGACGGCATTGTCCCAGATTTATCTCCGTCTCCACATTCACAATCTGTATCGGAAGCTTTTAGCTCATCGGAAAAGCGGATTTCCGGCGCAAACCCTAATTCCTCAATCTTCCTCCGAGGTTCGTAGTTTAACTTGTTCAATCTCTCGTTTACTGTTTGAAATTTTTTATGCAATTTACGTTTATGCATAACTATTAGCATCCCTTTGTTGTTCTTTGCGCTTCACTAGTGATGAACTGTTGTGTAACTTTTGTGCTGTTCACTTGCTCTGAGATTCCTACAAATTGTAAAAAAAAAATAAAAATTGATTTTTTTTGGCAGTTGGGTGATACTGATTGGTACTTCTTTGGATGACAGAGGACAAAAATATGAAAAATTGTGTGCTGATAGTTTGGTGATTGTTCCACGCATGTTGCTACCAATATCTAATTGTCCTATCAGTGCCTGTTCAATCCTTTTGGGCCTGTAAAACCCGATTTGAATCGGGCCCCACTCGACACACGATCGACAAACCTGGACCCTTCCATGGCAGGCAATGGCGGCCTGCCCACACTAGGCCGCGTGAAGCTCGTCGATCTAATCCCTTCCGAGGGAATACCTTCGGATACCTACAAACTCTCTGTCTCCACTTTATCCCAGTCCTTTGCCCAATACTCGGCCGCCATTGTCCAATTCCCCTCTAAAGATGGAGCCCTCATGAACTCTTGCCTCGATTCTGCTCGCCTCTATTTCCACCACAGGCCTCCTTTCCCCTCAGCCGACACCATCCATCCTGATGACTCACGTCAGTGGTGCAAAACCTCCGGCTATCGCTCGGACCCACACTTATGGCAGGAGACTTATGACTTCAGGCCCGGACTCACAACAACCTCCGATGAGATCGAGATCCCGCCAGCTGGCCTGCCCGACCTCTTCCCGATCCTTGGGAAAGCTTCGAGGGACGTGTTGGACGCCATAAGCTTCTATCTGAACCTTCGAAGCTCGCCGTTCACTGAAGTCCTTGATAATGTCCCGTTGAGAAATCGCGAAATATCATCCTCCGTTTTGTCTGTGTGTTGCCATGGGAGAACCACTTTCCAGGGAGCTCACCATCATAGCTTGACAGCTGCTCAGGAGGACGGCCCGTTTATATTCTCGGACGATGATTCGCGGGTC